CATGTAACACTTTAATCTATGAGGCCTTCAGACTAGGTAAAGATATGGACTCAAAGAGGATAAAAAATTGGGTGTCCCACGCTAAAAACATATTTAATATTACAAACATCGACCATATGTTGGATACTGTGACAGCTGATAAAAAACAGACAATCATTACATCCCTTGAGAGCAATCTAAAATCAATGTTCAAAAATCATTACTTATATAATGATAACAAAGGTAAAAATTGCAAAAATAAGGATCAGTGCGCACATATTGCAGATTGAGGCAGGAAGATGCATCAACCAAACAGTAGAAGAGAGAAAATGCCACTACTGTCACGAAAAACAAATAGAAGATGAAAGCCATTTTCTATTAAAATGTTCTCTCTATGCTGATTTAAGAAACAAGTTCCTCCATACCACAAAGGTCATTACAACAATTGACAAATCTGATATTGAAAACGCTGTAGACATTCTAAAAACAAAAGATAAACAATCACTAATTCATTTGGCAAAATATATCTTTGAGTGCTTCAATTTAAGAAATGACACTCATAAACAAAAAATACCAGCTGCTTTATAATTAAGATACCTTTTCTGTTTTGTTTTTTCTAACCATTTCTTGTTCTCCGTTTTTATTTGATTTTATTATGTTTTCACTACATTGTATGTCTTCATTTGTATTTTTTGTCTTGCCATTCTGTATGTATTTGAAACTTTATTATATTTTAAAAATCCAGATCCTGAATAGGATATGATTTCAATAAAGGCATTACTTACTTACATACAGTTACATGTGTGTGTTCTTAATGTGTACACACCAATCACATTTATTCTGGCTAGTGGTGTTATTGAATACAATGAATGCTGGGTATATGTTCAAATACAGGAAAAAAATACCACAAACACAATTCAGTTATTATATGGTCTGTGAATATGCTTTGAAACGACAATCCAAGATGAATGCTAACTTTTGCTTTTGCAGACACGCTCATTTGTCTTATGAACTCTTTGTGAAAGCTCTTACTGTTTCATTTCAGGGCTGATTCTGAGTCAGCAGCAATCACAAAGCAGTACGAGACTGAAGCCGAGACATACAAACAAATCATTGATACACAGGGTCTTACTGTGGATGAATTCATGGCATATATGGGTGTACGTACTATTGGATCTGCTAAGAACCCTGTATATGCTAGTGTGGATGCTCCAGCCAAGACTTCATATCACTAATGTAGTTTGAATAAGTATGATCAAAGAGGCAGAACTTATTAGTGCTTTTCTCATTAATTTGTTATTCTTGGGTCACACCAGCAAAAAAATTGTTTCACAGATTTTTCACAAAATGTATAGCTGTCGCACTGTGACATCATATGTTTACATTTCTGCCAACCAGCATGCAAGTGTCTGAGAAATGTTGCTTCAGCAGTTGCTCTTAAAAATGTTCCGCAAGTTGTTTTATTAACAGGGACACATACATGTATATTTAATATTAACAGCAGCTAATGCCACTACATGTATTTTATTTTCGATGCAAATAACTGGTTCTTGCCAACCAGCCACTGTGCACTGCATGCAAAACATAACAAGCGCAATGCTCATACAAAGCCCTGTTTAATCTATGAAACAAGTTATTTTTTAAGCCTGGCCTTAAAGTGTCACGTAGTATCAGTATTATTGTAGTGGGAGATGATTATAGCAGTTGGTATAACTTGCATGTTTTCTTCTTTGCCACCTGGCTAGTACTATGTGTCTGTCAGCTATTTGTTGAAACGCTACAGTCGTTGCATCCTGTTCTTTATGGCATCCATAACATGTTTATGCCAAATTTGAACTGGTTCTGTGCAATGACTGTAAAATTTAAAATAAAAATATAGGTCATCAAACTTCTTTCTTTGTAAATTGTATTTTTATATTACCCATATGTGGGGATTTTGAATACAATTAAAACTTTTTACTTGATCACCTTCCGTGTCTTAAAAGTTTATGTATCTAAATTTAACATGCAATTTAGTCAAATGTCTGTTTTGGATAATTTAACAAGATAATTACAATTTTCGACAAGTGTTTGTGAGGATGCATGTTTTTAAAGTATGTTCTATTTTGGATATCTTTGAGGTAGTTGCAAATTTTAACAGACTTTTAACTAGGATTTTTATAATTTTACTGCCGTAGAGAGATACAAGAGTTTATTAACTTATGGATCAACATGTGTGTGTGTGCATGCATCTGTGGGTGTGTGCATGCCCACCTCTATCTCTGACATGCCTGGTCTGATCCCATTCAAACTTCACACATATGTCACAATCATTTTTATGCTTAAAATGCATCAAGTATTTCTGCTATTTCAGAATCAGATCTTGTTTGTTTATGGATGGACTTCATTCAAACTTGATTCATACATTGAAGAATGCAGATGCTGTTCTATAGCCATGTCTGCCATACTATGGTTGATTGCAATCAAACTTTACAACTACATTATACATCATGACATTCGTTCCTTGTTTTTATTCAAAATGGCCGACTCATTTCAGTTTTGTTTACTAATGATCTAGCAGGGACTCTGTCATGACGTGACGTGACTTTTTAAATTCAAACTTTCATACATTCCTTTCATACTTTTAATGGAGATACCTGAAAAAACAACTGTTTTACCCTCAAAATGACGCAATTGTTATTATTCAGTGCATCACACTTATTGATAGCTGCACCATATAAGTTCAAAATCATTTACATTTCCATACACAGGTATGTCATCTGTAAAAAAAATAAACTCTATTCTAAACACATTTTTAATATATTACATATCAGAAATTTTGCTTTCTTACTCATATATTTGTATTGACTTTCTACTTTCATAACAATGTATATTTATTACAGAATTCTCTGTTCTCAAGATGTATGTATTTTGCTATTCAATGAATAATCTTGTATTATGTATTGTTGTATAAATTGATTTGATGGTTTGGTACTATCGTAGTTGATTCCCATTACTCATAACCAATCATTGTAATAAGCTGCAATTCATTTACATCATTCCTAGTTCAGGTTTCAATCAGACTGTTTTGAAACACTATATGAGAAATCAAGAAATAAAACACTTTTAATGACATGAAATATGAAGATTAAAGATTTCTATTAAACTTGAATTCAATATTTCATCACTGTCCAGAATTATGCTCACATTCTCTCATGTGATGTTAAAATTTGGATTAATAGGCCTAAAGTAATGTTTCTGGTCGCACCAAAAAAAAAGTGAACTTTGTTTTCTCTTATTTTGTTTCTGTGCCTGCCTTCAGTTGATAAATTGAGTAAACCTACAATATTTGTGAGGCCTTACTCCAAAACAGATTGACAATACGTCATACAATGTCTTAAAACTATACATACAAGGTGAAGAAATGATATTTTATAGACTGTGTGAACCTAATTTCTGTGTAAATGTTGCATCTACAAACAGGACCTGTCTGGTTAATAAGGTGAATTCCAGTGTAAATATTACCTTTACAAACTACATGTGTGGTTAATACAGTAAATGATTTATTTATTTATGAGAATGACATAATTAAAAGAACACGGTGCATATATTTTCAATTCAAATGAATTCAAGAATTTGTCTATATGATTCAGTATTGACTGGCTCGTGTTGAACAACAAGAACGTGCAAATTATGATTCTCCGAAAATTCAAATAAATTAATGTAAAGAATGCTGGGAAATTCAACTATAAATGGCATTGGACTTCACAAAGTGCACGTCATGAAACATTCTCTCTTGTGAAATAAAATCGGTTTACTGAAAGAACGTAAATCAGCAATTATGTGGTAAGCATTTTTTTATTGGTTTTTAAAGGGGATGCATTATTAGATTTGTTTACTTTGATATTTATCGAATAAATTTGTGTGAAATGTGAAGTTCAGAGTGACTTGTTTATTGCATTCAAAAACCTAATTGATTATGACAATAGCTTTCAAAATAAGGTTAATTAACTTTCATTAGTGTGTTATTGTGTGTGTGTGTTATTGTGTGTGTATTAGATATATTTGCATAATAGTCTAGTAGGAAATAGGGGTCCCCATGCACCCCAATGATATATTTTTTTAACTTATATTTTTTGAATCCTCAGGATGTCTAGTACAGGAATTTTGATGTTCCCATTGCCAAATTTTGTCCCATGACGTACGTCACTAGGTGGCCATTTTGACGGCCATCTTGGATTTTTACAGAAAACAATCGGTACAACTATTGAACTAGTCATCCTACAGAAACAAACAAATTTAGGCGAGGGTTCTTCGAACCCACCTATTCACATAGTTCATACCCACCATAGACTCCGGTCAGTCAAAATGACTATTTTGAACTGTAGGCATTAATCAGCGATTCTGCCGGTGACGGAGAGATAGAATCCAGGTCAGGGGAAGCCCCATGACCTCAAGATTCTTTTACCCCTTACGTCACGAACGGCAACGCCATAGGCAGCCGTCCATCACTCTGGTTCCTTTCTCTCCGCTTCAAGGACTTAGACCAACGCGACGGAAAGAGTGGGGAGGTTGGGGGGGGGGGACCCG